ATATCTTTTGAATACCAGGAGCACAAGCTTAATTAATTTAATTTTGTATCTCCTCTTTAATCTTGTCAAAAATGGCATCCCATCAGTATTAAAATCATGGGCCAAACTTAATGGTTTAGCAAAAAATGTGGAGTTGTCAGTCATCTGTCTCTTTCATAAAAAGCAAACCAATATTCAACCATATTATTTCACCAGGAATTCCTGTATTCTGTATTTGTAGAATACTTCAGTGACATTTGCAAAACTATCAAAGTGACAAATCTCATGAGCTGTTCAGAGAACACTGGCCTACTTTTTTAAAAAATATATTTTTTAGAGGTTTTAGGTTTACATAAAAAATGAAAAGTAGAGATTTTCCATATTTCCCCCTCCCCCTGCACATGCACAGCCTCCATTATCAACATCCCCACCAGAATGGTTCATTTACTATAACTGATGAACCTACATTGACACATTATTATCACCTAAAGTCCATGTTTTACATTAGGGTTCATTCTTGGTGGTGTATGTTCTACAGAATTGGACAAATGCACAATGACATGTTTCCCCATTATAGTATTGTACAGAGTAGTTTCACAGCCCTAAACATCCTCCATGTTTTGCCTATTCATCCCTTCCTCTCTCGGACTGCTGGCACCACTGATTTTTTTTTTTTTTTTTTACTGTTTCCCAAGTTTTTTGGTCTACTTTTTAATAACACATATCACTGGGTGAGACTCACAAGACTGTTTATTGGCCCCTTTTCAATCTTGTGTTACATATGACCTTTTCATTATGTATACAGGGAAGGGGGAGGTAAAGGAGTTTTGTTTTTTAAAGCAAATCCTAACATCAGATGTGAAATCTACACAGCTGTAAGCATTCTTCTGGGAACCTGAACTGGGGTTCATCTCAACGGCTTAATGCAATTACCTAAACCAGTCATGTAGTATTAATGTAATTTGCCCATTTCTACAGCTGAAAAGAAGTTCAATCTTTAAAAAGTGAGTAAAAAGGAAAAACTTACAGCCCCACAATTCCCCTACCTTGGAATCAAGTAATAATTAGCTCACCTGTTTTTTCTCAAAAATCTACTAACTCCCAGTTAACTATTAACCTTAGAAATTTTAGTCATATGATGAACTGATATTAACATAATAGGCAAGTAACCATATAAAGGCATTCCTATCTGTCTTCATAGAACAAGTCAAGTGATCTATCTACAATACAAAACTGATCATCCACTTCTCTGCTTAAAACTTAACAGTAGTTCCTCAGCCTTCAGAACAAATTCTAAACATACAAGGGCTTTGAATATCTGTTTCTACTTACCTCTTGAGTCTCACCATCCTCCCCCCAAGCACAAAACTCAACCTTCTAGCTCTACAGTATTCCCTATCAAGCACTCTCATCAATGAGCTATTTTCTCTGCCTGGAGCACACATCCCTTCCTTTTTTGCCTAGGTAATTTCTAGATACTCTGCGGCGCTTGGCTTAGAATGTCATTCCTCTAAATAGAATTGTCCTGGCTCCTCCAGTCTAAGTTAGATACTATTCCAAAGTGTTCTCATAGTCCCTGGCACTTGCTTGCTCCATTACAGCCCTACTTAAACAAGGAATTACAACTAAGTATATGACTCTCTATACCCCTCACTGACCAAAAGATCACTAATGACAGAAACTGAGAAGCAGATCTGTCTCATGCATTACTGCACCTCCAACATCTAATACACAGCATCAGCCACAAAGCAAAAACTCAAACATACTAAAAGACTGATTGAATAAATAATTTTGATATTAATGTTCAGAGTGTTGAGGGTGAAAGTGCAAAGCTTATCAACTTCCTCAGTAAAAACTGGTCACATTCTAGTTCAGTTTAAGTCAGCAAGTATTTACTGCCTAGCCACATAAGAATCAAAGAATATAAGCCAGAGTCAAATCCTCAAGCAACACAGATTTTAAGAAAGACAATAATGGGCAAAAAAGCGAGACTCTGTCTCAAAAAAAAAGAAAGAAAGAAAATAAGACACATACAAACATGAAAGCTAAACATCAAAGAACAGTGTGTTAGTAGATTCTAAAGTGCCAAAGATGGACTCTGAGTGCCAAAGAAGAGGTAAGGACTAGGAAACAATCCTAGAAGTAGGATTTGGATAATGGATAAGTAAGGCTGAAAACAAAATATAAAGACAGATGTGCCAGAGTTCAGCAGTTCTCAAAGTGGGTTGGAAGACACCCTCCATTCGGGGGTACTTAAGGTCAGAAGTATTTTCATAATAAGCCTAGGATGTTATTTTCTTTCTTTTTTCTTTTTTTACTTTCAATCGCTCTCAATCATACAATGCAGTTTACAGAGGTTACAGGACATGTGATATCACAGTAGATTGAATGAAGCAGCAGACATGACAATCCAGCTGTTTTCTAAGCCAAACATTAGAGATTTGTAAAGATGTAAAACAATGCCACTCATTAATTTTTTTTGTTTTGAAAAATAGTTATCTTTCCTAAAAATATGGTATTTGTGTTAATATGTCATGGAATTATTTTTCAATGAGTATTTTTTTTTTTTTTTTTTTTCAGCAGGCCGACTACAGATTTCAATGAATATTTAATTTTAGTTTTTGATAAATATTGACAGATATAACCTACATAACCAAAGCTCTTTGAGGTCTCAATAATATTTTAAGAGTCTTAAAAGGGGTACCAAGACCAAAAGTTTGAGATTGACTGAGCTAGTTGTTTTTAGAGGTAGATGGGGCATCAGCCTAGATTCTCTGTATAGATAAGCTGTAGATATGCATAAGAAATGAAATTACTCAGGCAATGCATAACTTTAAGCATGTGTTTATGAGCTGGGCATGGTGGCACACACCTGAAGTTCCAGCTATCCTGGGGTGCTGAGGTGGGAGAATCCCCTGAGCCTAGAAGTTGGAGACCAGCCTGGACAACATAGTGAGACCTTATCTCTTAAAAAAGAAAATGTGTTTACCGTACAGGAACAGGCTTTCTTCTCAGTAGTTATTTTTACTTAGTGTAAAAATATAAAAAGAATATTTTAAAATCATTCTTATCCTCCCATCCAAATAGTTTCATACTCCTTTTGAATTATCATATACAGACATTTTTACATTTCTAGAATCTTCAAAATTATCATTTAAAATAACTGAAAAATCATACCCAGCATTCTTACAAACCTGAATAGCAACTTTTACATTTGATTTTCCAAGTATTTTATAATAATACACTGAAGCTTCATATAAGAAAAAGTATGACAAATTACTATCCCAAAAAACTTACTTCTAGAATGCCAAGGGATCTTATTTAAAATCAAACTTGCCTGCCAGATTCTGTAGCTTAATCCACAAGGAAAATGACATTTTACCCTAGAACTTCTGGAAACCTTAAACTCAGAACTATATATCTCCCAAACCTTGAAAGCTCTGCTCACAAACTACCTCTAGAACTGTTTCCCACTACGCCAGATGCTATTCATGATTCCATAAACTCAATTAAGGCTTATATTAGTGCCTCCCACCACCTGAAATGATTTATTCTCTCATCTCCACCTGCCCAAAATTCATCCTTTAAGGGTCAGCTTGAAAGCCAGCTCATCCATGATTTCTTCTCTGAATCCCTTCAACTGAATATTACATCCCTCTTTGAATATTTGAAAGACCTTGATTATTTCTTAAAATAGAAATCTTATTCTGCTCGCATTATCATTACTTTTTGATCTCACACCTTCTTTCAGATCTTTAATCTCTTAAGGATAGGGACAGTCTTATCAATCTCAATTCCCTAAAGCACCATGGAAAAACAAGAAAGTACAAGGAAAAATGAGACTCGGATAGGCTATAATCTGCCTAAGGTCACAGAGCTAGTGACTTTGAAAGAGTCAAATTTGAATGCCAGACCTCCAGACTCAAAGTCATGTTCTTTCCATCATACCCTCCCAGACTTTGCCCTATGCATCTCTTCTGGCTGCTCCTGATTCGAATCCTCTTTTCCTATATTAAAACTGTAATTGGCCCAGGCATGATGGCTCACACCTGTAATCCCAGCTCTTTGGGAGGCTGAGGCAGGAAAGTCGCTTGAATCCAGGGGTTGGAGATCACCCTAGGCAACAAAGTGAGACCCCATCTCTACAAAAATATTTTTAAAAATTATCCAGGCATGTTGGCTTACAACTGTAGTCCCAGCTACTTGGGAGGCTGAGGCAAAAGGATTGCTTGAGCCCACGAGTTCAAGGCTGCAGTGAGCTATGATCACCCCACTGGACTCCAGCCTGGGCAACAAAGTAAGACCCTGTCTCAATAAAACAAAAACAAAAAAGAAAACCACTATAATTGTAAGTATAGCATTTTCCAGAATTCTCTGAGTCATTCTAGTGAATTGCTGAATCTGAAGGGGTAGTAGGAACCCCCAAATTTGTCGACAGTTGGTCAGAAACGTGGTGGCCTGGGAATCCTCAAACTTGCAGCTGGCATGACAAGTGAGGACAGTCTTACAGGAAACTGTGCTCTCAGCCTGTGAAGTTTTGGCCTTACTCCAAGTAGTGTCAGAACTGCACTGCAATTATGTAACAAATAATAACAGACACCATTTCATAAATGTGTCAGGCACTATGCAAGTATTTTAATATATATTATTTCTAAATCTTTAGAAAGTATTATCTCTAAGTCTCACTACAACCCCATAAAATAGAATTATCATCCTAACTTTTTAAGTAAGGAAACTAAGGAATCAAAGTGACATGGTAAGTAAATGGAGGAACCTAAATTCAAACTCAGGATTATCTGAGTGAAAAGCCCATGATCTAGTCAGGACACAACTCAGCTTTCCATATTGACTATATAGACACACAACAAGATTGCCACCTAAGAATACATGATCTTTACTAAAATTACTGACTAAGATGTCATTGTAAAACTTAAAGTATTATTTATAATTTATGAACTCCTTATATGAAATATGAAACATTATATTTTAATACAAATTCTTTTAGCAATTGCTTAACTTACTTGTTTGTGTTTTAGAAGCATGTTTCTGGAGAAAATCAACTATCTGAGCCAAAACCTTCTTATTACAATGTGTTGATAATTTTTCATTACACTCATAACACCTGAAAAAATACAAAATTTAAGCAAATATTATGAAACATCATGAATAATTTTGCACATTAGGTAACAAAGCTTGTATTTATCCAATTCTGTCTATAAATTGCATAGTAGGGAATACAAAGGAGAGGGTACCAGGTAAGTCTGGAGAAATAAGCAGGGGAAAGTTCATACGGAGCCTTATAGTTCAAATGAAAATTTTGGTAGTTTATCTTAGGTATCATTAAATGCCATCAGGAGGTTTTTATGCAGGGCTGTGATATGACCCAATTTGCATTTTATAAACATCACTCTCACTAATGTGATAAACTATTAATAGATTGGAGGGCACCAGGAATAGAAACAGATTAGTATATAATAGCAGTGGATATGGAGAGAAATGGACATATTTGTTACAAGTATTTGCAGGTAGAAACAGTAATGAGTTAGATATAAAAGATGAAGGAAGAAGGAAGTGTCAAAATCACTGCCGTAGGAAGGGAGAAGTGTGTGAGAGAATGTCAGTGATTCTCCATGAGGAGTGATTTTGCCACCTAGGGGACATTTGACATTTTTGGTTGTCACAACTGGTGATAGGAAAGATGACTGCTACTGGCATTTAATGGGTAGAGGCCAGGGATGCTGCTAAACATCCTACAATGTACAGGGTAGCACAACAAAGAATTTATCACAAAGAATTAATAGTCCAAATGCCAACAGTATTGAGATTGAGAAATCCTGGTCTAAATGAAACAAAACTTGGTGTGAATTGATATTGTTTAAAGCTGGTTGATAGGAACAGGAGAATTTATTATACCATTCTGTCTACTTTTCTTAACAGTTTAACATGTAAGATAAAAAGTAGAAGAAAATAACTTCCAGGCTTCTAGCTTGATTAATCAGTGATGGAGGGAGGTGCCAGTTACAGAGATGAGGAAGACTGGAAGAGACTGCTGGTTTGTTTGGGACTTATTCGGAGGTAGAGGGTTAAAAAAGACATTTTCAAAAGCACATTCCATTTCAGAAAACTACCTTCAATTAAATTTACTCATTAGTGCATAGTATTAATGTTTCTTCTATATATTTTCATTATCTGTGTTTCCTTTATTTTCATGAGATCTAATGATCATATAAGAACATGGGTCTGAAAGTGCTGAATATCTTTATAATTGTAATGCATTATACCAAATTTTGAACTACTTGCATGTTCACAATCTTCTTACCTTTAAATGGTCCTAAGATGAACAATGGCTGTAAACTAGTTGGATTGCTTGTCTAAACAGTACTCAAAATTTAATCAAATATTTACTGAGAGCCTACTTTATTATTTCCCCAAAGATAGATCTGTGAAGGAGATGAGTCACAGACAACATTCCCAAAAACATCTTTTTTATAGACTATTAAATTGAATTTAAATATTTAATTATAGTTCCCAGATTTATATTATAAAGGTGCTAAATATTTACTCATTCAACTATTGTCCAAAATTAATAAAAATTTAAATAATTGCTCATTTGAAAAATACTGAAATGTCAAGAAATTTTTACTGATACTGCGATTTAATTTTTACTTGTTTTAACTTTGAAAGTACAAAAAGAAAGGGCAAGTAAATAAAAATCAACATGAGGACAACTGAAAATAAATTAATTCTAGCTGTTTCCATTAAAAATAACACATAAAAATTTTTTTTAATTGAGCATTTACAATGTGCCAGGCACTGTTCTAAATGCTTTACGTACACTATCTGGTTTAATTCCTCATAAAAATCATGAAAGTATTTTTATTTTTAAATAAATGTCTTTATAGAAGTATAATATTTTCTTATTACAGATAAGAAACTAAGACAGGAGGTTCTTGTAATAAGAGTACAAGGGGGATGGGTGTGGTGGCTTACACCTATAATCCCAGCACTTGGGAGACTAAGGTGGGAGGAATGCTTGAGGTCAGGAGTTCCAGACCAGCCTGAACAACATAGTAAGATCCCATCTCTACAAAAAATTAAAAAAAGAGTGTGGTGGTGCCCACCCATAGTTTCAGGTACTATAGAGAGGCTGAGGCAGGAAGATGCTTTGAGCCCAGGAGTTCAAGGCTGTAGTGAGCTATGATGATGCCACGGTACTACAGCCTAGGCAACAAAGCAAGACTCTGTCTCAAAAAAAAACAAAGAGTACAAGTAACATGCTGAATCTTCTTTCAACAAACTTTTGAGTATGGTACTTTATGTTAATTTAGGTGTTAAATCAGTGCCTCTTAAGTCTGTTTAGGTATCAAAATAACAAATGGAACTGCTTTAATAGTGGACATGTGGGGATTTTTCAAAATCTACCTGTATGATTCTGATGTGAGGTTAGGGGCAAGAACCACTGTTCTAATAATCATTATTGGTTAAAGCAGCATTAAATCCACTATCTAGCAACTCTTGCATAGCCATGATTAAATTATCAAATCTACCTCATTCCTTTCTTTTTTATATGGTTAGGGTTTTTATCTAATTCAGGCTGGCTTTCCCTGTAATTCAAATTAGTGAAATTGTTAAATTTTTATTGTTTAAATATTAGAAGGGAAAAGAGAATATTCACAAACTTTAAATTTCTATAAATGCATTTGACAAACTTGAATTTCTTCCTTTTAAAGAAAAATAATCTACAGGCTCCCAAATATGGCTTAAATTATTTTCATTATAATATAAATCTAACACATACTCTCACAAAACTCAATAAATTCACCATCCTTACAATTCCATATAACTATAAAAGCACAATAAATTATACAATTAAATATAAAAAATTACAAACCCAATTGAATTAAAACTAACAATACTAATTTATTATGGTGGATAAGCTTTTCTTGATGATAAATGACCATTCACATTTATGGTCCTAAGAGCTATTCATACAACAGAGGTTAAGGCACAAATTCACTTGAGCCGTCCAGTGCCCCTAAATTCTCCTACCATCTTTTTCTATTTCAGTGGTTCTTAAACTGTGCTCTCCAGACCAACAGCATTGGTAACACCTGGGAATGTGACGGACATGCAAATTCCCAAACTCCACCCCAGAACTACCGAATCAGAATATTTAGGCCTGGGATCCAGCAGTCTGTCTAAACAAGACCTCCCCGAGATTCTGACACACTGTAGTTTGACACCACTATAGTGAAGTTTTTGTTGAGCTGCCACACTATGATATCATCATCCTCTCCCTTGGCTGTAATGCATCATTTACATATTAAGTTCCTTTGTTCTTTTCCTCATTCTTGCCAATACCACTACTTGGGGCCAACAACAATAAAGATAAACACAAATCCAGCAGGTGCAACCCCTCTGGCTGTATTAAATTATAAGATGATGATTTCTCCTATGACCCAAAATATCCTTATATTAATTTTAAAACCCTGAAATCAGAACACAAAGCTAAAATATTTTTTCTCTGAAAGAAAACTTGAAGACTCCTGAAAATTCATTCAAAGAACTCAAAGACTATACAGATTCCAGTTAGAAAATTATTGTAAAATATAGAGGAAGCATTTCAATACAGTGTCCTGAAATATACCTCTGAAATAGTGTGGTATGATGGTAAGCAACTAGAAAATCAAAAAATTAGGGTCTGGATTTTTACTTTGTAACCACAAAAAAGTAAATCATACTCAGTTTCCTTACATATAAAATGAGAGAACTAGACTAAGTTTTCAACCAGGGTTAAGTAGCAAAATCACCTGAGAGGTTTTTACAAACTTCTTAATGCACATTTGACTGCTTGATGTACCTTCCTCTTCTAGAACTCTGTAAATCTGTATTAGCAAGTTCATTACAAAAAATCAAATAGAAAGAATTTTTCTTTATGTTGCAAAGAAAATGTTAGAGAAGAGTAGAAAGGAATTAATTTTTCCCAATTTAAATTTTATATTCATTGGTAATGTTAATTTTCTGAAATTATCCCATAGATTGTGTTCAGGCTAAAGAAGCATAAGCTGGTGTAACATCTTTAAATATTTTACCCTGTAAAGCTTAAAGATTTTTTTTTTGTAGTGGACACAAGAACTAACAAAATTTAACTTACCATATAATCCATGTGCTGAGACTGATTATAATACAATGGGGCTCTGTTCTGGAACTCTTGAAGTGCTTCAGTGAATGTTGGCTTTCTGAGCTTTTACCACATCCCTGAAGATGAACAGAATGCTATTTGTATGATTCACATATATTTGTTTCAAATTAATTAAAACCTAAATCCCTACTCAACTTATATTGAAAAAATTTTGTTTTTAATTTCAAGCAGGAGGGGAAAGTTTTAGAAAGCAATGAAGATTCTCATTAAATTTAATTTCTTGCAAAGAGGATAACTTGTTTTTTAATATATAATATTTACCTAAAACAATCATGAGCAGAGTTAATTTCTCAATGATTTAAAAATGTATAAACTCTCTGTCTGGAGACAGTGGGACACTGAGCATCCCAGTGGGCCAGTGGTACCCCTCCCACATATTGCCCGATCCTGTACACATCTCCACCTCAAACCCCCTAAAAATTAGTGAGACACAGACCAATCATAGTGATTTCCTTCACTAGCTAAGTAAAAAGAAATGAAACACAATTCTGATTAATGTGACAAGAAGGAAGTCTGCTAGATATTTCTAGAAGAGTTTTACATATTTTCAAAACAGAACACAGGCCACTTTATGGCCTTTGGGGATTATCTTTGGCCATCCTGAAACCATGAAGTTGAGGAGAGGATAGCAGATAAACAGAATAAACCTCAGTTTTTAATGTTCTTTCCATTGAATTAACTAATCCTGAAGTGGCCTTACTTCTGGACTTTCTATATGAGATAATAATGATACCTCTTATTTTTAAAAAAATGTATACACTTTTAATTCCATTACAAAATTCCTTTATTTTAGGAACTTCTAAACTTTAAGATAAGTTATTTTGAAAAAAAAGAGAATAATCCTTTTTGAGAAAGAAGGAAATGAGTCTAAAAAGTTGAATCTATTTCGTAAGTAAATGCAAAAGGTAAAGACAGGTCCAGACATGGGAACTACTGCAAGTGGGTTGGATACCCTTTCAAAGTATTTATAAACCACACACGATTACTTTCTGAGCATACCATACCTTTTACTTTCCCTTAACAAACATTTCTAAGTTCATTCTAGGGGAGTTTCTATCTAAATATGGAATAAATGTATCTTACGTCCTATGCATGACCAACAGCCCAACTCACAGTAAACACCTAAGGAAAATATTTAGGACAAATTCACATATAAATAACACTTTTCTTACCTGGAAGCCACACTTGAGGCACAACCAAACATCAGATGGGAGTACTGACTGCCCATCATAGAACCTTCTTTCTTTTAAACATTCTGAGCAAACTGACCACACATTCTCAGCTACTGCTCTCTTTACATGATTGACGCTGATAGCATGACTTACATGTTGGCAAGTTAAACCTAATGAATAAGATAAAAGAAAATTTGAACATTTTCGCAGCTAAACCAGAGTGCTACCACCAGTAAGCAAAAGTCAACAGTATTACAATGCTGTTAACTAAAAAGCATAGAGATTCAAAAAACAAAATAATTCAAAAGGATACATGTTACATGATTCCGTTTATATAACATTCATGAAATAATATAATTATTGAATGTGAGAAGAAATTAGTAGTTGTCAGGGGCTATAGATGGGGGGCAGAGGGTGTAGCTATAAATGGACAGCACACAGGGTGGTAATGAAACAGTCAAGTATCTTGATTCTGGTGGTTACATAAAGCTAAACATGTACTGAAATTGCATAGAGCTACAAACATTCACTCACTCACTCACATATGAGTGCATGCATTATATATCTAGTGAAATCTGAAGAAGCTGTAAGGATTGTACCAATATCAGTTTCCCAGTTTTGATATACTATAGCAATGCAAGACATTAACATCCGAAGAGGCTAGGTGAAGCGTGAATGGGACCTCCTTGGATATTTCTTTGCACCTTCCTGTGAATCTAAAATTAGTTCAAAAATTTAAAATTTAAGCCTGAGCAACATAGCAAGACGCCCTTTCTAAAAAATAAATTAGAAAAATGAGCAGGGCCTGGTGGTACATGACTTAGTTACACCCACTCGGAAGGCTGAGCTAGGAGGATTATTTGAGCCCAGAAGTTTGAGGCTACAGTGAGATATGATTCTATCACTGCACTCCAGCCTGGGTGACAGAGCAAGACTCTAATCTCTAAAAAAAATAAAAAATTAAATTTAAAATGTAATAAATAAATAAAATTAAGGATGTTATATATGTTTCAATTAGCTACTATGTATCAAGCATTTTGAATGTACTTTCTTTCCATTAACATGCACATATAAAATATTTTCACATAGACTAGCCCTGTTATGATGCAATTTTCATTATTGTTGGGAGAAAGGAGAAAGAAGAACAAACAATGGTATAATTTACAGGAACCAGAATTCTTAGAATTCTCAAGGAATATTCCCAAATAATTTTGACTGGTCCCTAATTATCCTTTATAACAGCTTCTTACTGTGTGCAGTCTATGGAGACAAATGGTCAAAACTGAGCAAATAAGTTTTTAATTCTTCAAATAACTATATATTTCTCCCATGGGCACAATTACACTTCTCTTTCTCTCAAATTTCTCCACTTCAGACATCCCAAACATTAAAACTACAACTACCCACCAAAATCAAAAGACAAAGGAAAGACTAAGTAACATTAAGAGTAAAACAGGTATATGTACACTTCTACTTTTTCTACTTCCCTTTCTAAATGGAAAGCATTTCTTTTTACCTACTAATTGACTAGAGAGGCTAAGCATTGGCTTCATTTCATCCTGAAGACCAAGAATGTGACTGACAAATTATTTATAGTAAAATATAATTTCAAAAAAATATGTAAATATGAATAAAATATTAAAACTTCTAATTTTACATAAAGAAAAAGGTATAGGAACAGACATAAAAGGAGTAATTCTGAAGTAATATATTTGAGAAGCAAGGATTCATGAAAGAAAGGACTGTTCAGGGAAAGATTGATAAATGACCAACAAGTACAAGATCTAGAAATGGTTTACCAAATGTAATTGCTTTGTTTGAATTTCATATTGTAAAACTCTAAGGGAAAAATCATTCCACATACTTTTATATATCATCTCTGGGGTGGGATTTGGCCAGGGTACAACTTAAAATTCTCTGATTCTACAATTCAGACTTTTCAAATTGAAATTTTTAGTGAATTCAGAAATAAGTGAACTCAAGATAAAAAGGTTCTAGGCAATACATTAAATCTATTAGCTTTTAAATGTCTCAACCATATATATTTTTTATGAGTAAATAAAAGAGTTTGACATTTTCCTGCAATACGTAACCAGTGTTTAAATAGTATTCACTATCTTTTGTGGTAGAAAATATGTAAAAACTTTCCTTTTGTATTAATAAGTAAATTTCTTCATTTTTCTGAAATTTCTTTCATCGTGTAATTGTCTAAATGTCATCTGAAAAATAGGTTCTCTAAAGATTCCTGATTAAAATATTAAAATGTATTAAAGTCTACAGCTGTTTCACATTAAACAAATCAAAAACAATAATCAGAATCTCCATATTTTCCACTTTAGGTATTAAAAAAAACTTTATAGGAAGGCCTTCCAATTTTCAAACAGTGACACTTCCCCCTTCTCCAAGAAATTATCCAAAGACAATAAGAACAGGAAACAAATACACAAAGATCATTTTCAGAGAAACCAGAAGACAGTTGAAGCCCAAAGTCACAAATTAAGTGGAAAGGCATCCAGTTCAAAGCAGCGGATGTCGAACAAGGGTACATGAAGAGGAAAGCAGAGAATACTGCAGCTGTAGGTTTCCTATAGAACACCACGTGCTTCCCAGACATAAAACAAACCTAAATCATTGTGCTGCAACAACAGCAGCAGGAGCTCCCCTATATCTAATTTTGTGTTGAGAAGAAGCAAAAGAAGGGAATTAAGTGAGAAATAAAGAGAGCCATCTTTGCAGGAAGCATTCTTGTCTCTACGGCAGTTGAGGAGAAGAGATACTTTGGATTACGAAAACATTCAGGGCTGCATAATTCAGGACTGCAATTTTTGGTTAGAAAAAAGTAAAGGTTATGGAAAATATTGCTGTTATTTTTAATGAAAAAATAAATTTTGTATAGTTTATTTCAATCTAAATAAAATGTGAATTTTGTTTAAGAAAAAAAAAAAGAAAAAAGTAAAGGCTAAAATGAACTCAAACTCAAAACTCCAGCTAGGTCTCATCAAGGCTTTAGCCCTTTCTTATCCAAATATTTCTAAAACTTGCTAGTCAAAAAAAAGCAACTTTATATCAAAGAATGAGTAATCACCCCCTTGCCTCTACCCTGAGGGCTCCCTAGGCCCTACCTGAACATCTCACTCCCACCCTCATGTTGTGGGTGGATGTGGGTGCGTAGGTGGCAAAGGCACTGTCTCCACCCCTCTGGCCCACTTAGCAATCACTGCCTGCCTTCCCACCCTGGGATGCAGGATGTAGATATTATACAAGTTTCTAAATCCATTCTTTTCTTTTCTTCTTTTTTTTAAGGCTTGTCAAGTGAGAAGCAGTGGGACTGGAGAAGGAGCAACGGAATCTGTAACTGGTTGTGATCAATTAGTTGTAAACACCACTGCACTCCAACCAACCTAAATCCCTTCTTTTTTATGTGCTTTTTTATTTAAGAGGGTAGAGTCACAGGTGGGAACTCGCTCATACAATACAGTCTATCAATGTTTGGGAGGAAAAATGGGTAATCAAAGAGAAATCAAAGCCACAAATTCTACACTAAGATAAGAAAAAGTAAAGAAGAAACAGGAAAACCAAACTGTTCTTCCATGAAATAAGAACACAAAACAGAAGCAAGAGTTCTAGGACAAGATGGCAAAATAATAGGAAGTGGCTGGCATTAGGAAAGAAGTAGAACAAAAATAAATACATAAAACCACAAAAATGAAGGCTCAAATAAAAAGAATATAAGGGGAAAAACACTGCTGCCAATACAGTAAAGGATAAAAATGAAAACAGCCATAGAATGAAAAGGAAAGAAGAGTTTTAGAGGATTTGAGAAATAAAAAATAACTGTGGAAGACAAGCAAAGGACGGTTAACATAATAATCATATGAAGAAATCAGTATGAACAGAATAGAACAAATATATAAAGATATATTTCAGACTTCCTTCCATACAGCAAACTAGCTACCCTGAAACCCTATCCAAGTTAAAAACACTTAAAAATGGCAATATATATTTAAAATATCTTTTTAAGTGGAGAACCAAACTAGCAAGGAAGTGAGGAAAATTCTCAGAAGCCAAAAGCTAAGGCAAGAGGCTAAAGAGAAAAGGAGCCCTGAAGCTGGCGTCTCCCAAGGGCCATCTGCCAAGCTTGAGTGCCTTGGAGACTTGGTTTTAACAGGATCTGACAAAGGAACAACAATAAGAAAAAAGATGCCAATCTAAGTTACTTTATGAACTAAACAAAATCCCAATAAATACAACAACAGCATTTTTTGGAACTAGACAAGCTGAAACTAAAGCTTATGCAATCTGACTTGAGGGGGTGGGGGGCATGGGCAATATATGTAACCTTAACATTTGTACCCCCATAATATGCTGAAATAAATAAAAATTAAAAAAATAAAATAAAATAAAATAAATGAGGAAGAGGGAATGAACAGATAGAAAGATGAACTACAAAGGTCATAATTACCTTCTTAATTCATCCATGTTCTGCTATTTCAAATAATTTTAATAAATAATTCAAATTTAGCTTTTAAATAACAAATATAGCATTGATTTCTTCAAAACTATTATTTGCATTTTTCTTTTCAGGCAATTATTTCTTTCACTCTCTCTGGACTTTAGAACATCATCTGCTCTTAGATTTTCTGATGCTCATTCTACTGATGTTTTTCTTCTATTTTAGCTTGTGATTTAACATACATTGTATTCCTTTTTAATGTATAGGAACATGAACCCTCTGATTATAACACATATTGACTAACAGCAACAGCAAAAGATTATTTCAAATATGAAACCATAGTTCTAAGTTTTTTCTATCAGAACACATATATTGAGCACAATTTTGATTTCACCTTCTACAGGTGTCCCTTTATAGTGCATTTAATACTATATTAATAATATATTAGTATATCTTTATTGTACATTAATGACAATAATTAAGCTATTTTAAATATATTAAGTATAGAATTCTTTTGTAAAACCTCATAAGCCCAAATAAATTTATTTTTTACCTGTAAAAAATAAATAAATAAAGCTTATGCAGGAAACAGTGAAAATAAAGAGTAATGGATTTATTAATTAAAAATAAAAGTCATACATTGGTAAATGCAGAGATTGGTTCCAGGACCACCTAATATATACCAAAAGATGTACGTACGCTATGGACATACTGGAGACTCAAAAGGGGGGAGGTAGGAAGGGGAATGATGGATGAAAAATTACTTTTGGGGTACAATTTACACTATTCAGGTGATAGGTACCCCAAAAGCCCAGACTCCACAATTATATATTATATACATGTAACTGAATTCAACTTGTACCTCCTATCTATATCTATTAAAATTTTTTTTTAATTTTTTTCAATTTGCACATATTCAAGTCTCACAGTCAGCCCTGTGCAACCTGCCTATAGGAAAAGATGGTCTTCCCAGTAGGTTTTCTCAAATTCTGTATTTTCCATCCCCATTTGGTTGAAAAAAATCCATGTATAAGTGGACCTGTGCAGTTCAAACCCATGTTGTTCAAGGGTCAAGTGCATTGTTATTTCTTGTCCTCAACGCTATTTGGGATGCCAGATATTATAATTTACCTGCAATGTCATCTGAAGAGTCTTCATAATGAAGTATAGTAGGCCGTTTGCTTCTTTTGGCTTTCTCAGGTAAAGCTTTGGTTGGATCTTTTACCCGCATCTGTTATTTACTGAAAAGGTTAAGGGGAAAAAAAATGAATACGCAACCTTCAAAATTAAAATTGTATATATTTAATGCATACCAAAATTGAAATGGCTGTAATTTTAATTGGTCTGGTAAATCAACAGAGGAAGAGGAGGGGAATATCAGCTGAAATCAAAGAAATCTTTATTAAGTCAATATACAAATGGTAGATTTCCATTTGACTTTTACCAACCACCCTGTCTTAGACTAACTGTTTGTGTCCCCCTCCAAAATTCGTATGTTGAGAGGTGGAACTTTTGGGAGGTAATTAGGTCATGAAGGTGGAGCCCTTACAAATGGGATTAGCCTCTTACAAGAGGAAGCCAGAAAGCTAGCCTTGTATCCACATGAAGATACACCAGGTCTGCTGGCACCTTGGCCTTCCCAGCCTTCAGTACTGTAAGAAATAAATGTTTGTTGTTTAAGCCACCCACTCTATGATCATTTGTTATAGTGGCTTGAACTAAGACATACCCACATACCCCCTAAATATATAATGTTCAGGTGAATAAAAAAACTAGTTTGGTCAACGAAGTGCTGCTTCTGGATAATGTGTTCCTTTTGCCCTTTCTTCCGTTCCACTAGCAAGGAAATAGGAGGAACTAGAAGAGCCACATTGGACTAGGGAAGGAAGCCAGAAGCCAAACACAGTAAAGCTATCCTACTTGTGCTGTATTACCTAGTGCTGGACTATTAAGAGAAAATAAATTTCTATCTCTTTAAGCTATAGCATTTTTTGTTTTTTTCTCCAACTTTGTATTATGAAAATTTTAAACAACAACAAAAGTTAAAAGAACCATACAAATGAATACCCATATACTATCTAGATTCTACATCTATTAATGTTTTGCTATATTTGTTTTATCTAAATACCAATATGTGTATACGGAGACAAATGTGTATACATAAGTGTATATTTTTTTCTTTTTCTGCTGAACTATTTGAATAAGTTGTAGAGATCATGACACTTCACTCCTAAATACTTCAGCATGTATCCTTTAAAAATAAGGACATTCTCCTATGTAATTATTATACAACAATATTATCACATCTAAGAAAATTAACAATAATTCTCTAACATATCCCATCATATTCTAATTTCCTTAGTTGACTCCAAAGCATCTTTGATAGCTGGTTTTCCAAATAAGAATCAGTGTTTGCACTTTATATTGGTTATGTCTCTTTGGTATCTTTTAATCTAGAACAGCTCTTCTAACTTTTTATTATACTTACCTAAGACACTGAATTTTTAAAGAGATCAGGCCAGTGTATGAGAGTCACCTTGGGGATCTCTTTAGCATGCGAATTCTGATTCAACAAGTCTGGCACAGGACCTGAGATTCTGCCTAACTGGAGCCATTGCTGGAGATCCACAAAAGATACTTTTAATAGCAAAGTTGTATTTTGTTCCACATTGAATCTATCTCTTTCTTTATGGAGTTATTTACTTTTACCCGTTACATTTCTGAAAAACTCAGTTAATTCTAAAGACTTTAGACAAAAGCTAAGCATTTTTTAAACCACTATATTTTGGAGTCTTCATTAGAGCAGCTTATCCTAAATCCTACCTACTACTCTCTTGCCTGGTGGCTCCACTACATTGCAATTTTCATGGTTTTTACTTTCTAATAATCAAGATAATGAATTCCTCAATTCAATACTAAATTCTGAATCTTAATTTAGTCATTCCATATTGCACATAAGGGAGCTTTCAAGTTTATCATTTTATGAGCCATTTCTTTAAGTCCAAGGGTCATAGCTATTGAACTGAGTTGCAAACAAATGAAGAGCTTAGAGTTACAGAGATATATAAAACCTCTGAGTTCCTTTAGAGGTTTCATCTGAAGGAATGAAACCAACTACTTCATCTCTACCTTCTCCCCTCCAATCTTCCTCATCTACTCACTCCTACAGTCCCATCTTTAAAAAATCGCTAATTTAAGAATTCCCTTTTCTGATTACAACTCCCGGTTCTTCCAGCTTGCCTGACTGGCTATTCCAATTCTCCTTTGGCATCCGGGCTGACAAGAGGCTGCACCTCAAATGCTCCCATGATCCCCACAGCAGGGCCAGATTTAGGAGCAAATAAAGAGCTGGTTCTTAAAGCTTCACCTGGAGGTGGCACATGCCACATCTTCTCATATTTTACTGACCAAAGCAAGTCACATGGCACATTTAACTTTACATGGACATGAGGGAACATACAAAGAGTGCAACCTCACTGTGTACCCAGAAAGAGGTGAACCAGCATATCTGTGCACAGCTTAATGACTACATCACCCTACTGGCAGAACCCAATCCTAGATGAACCCAATTAGCCATTTTCTCCATGTCTGGAGAAAGTCTCACAAGAAAGCAGACTCCATGCAGGGGTGGGAACCTGTAGCCTTCTGATTTCAATATTGTTCTTTTGTAAACATCAAAGGAGGCAAGAAAAGCTTCATCTTTCTCTGCTGCACCCCTTTTAATAAAAGGATTTGTTCTTTAAAATTTGGATTCAGTCAAAAGGCCACACTTAAGGACCTAGAAGGCCACATGTGGCCTTGAGGCTGCAGGTTCCACACTTGTATAAGGTTCTGATCAACTTACCTATTCCCTACATAGCCATATCAACTTTTTTTACTTTCCTTAAACCTCTACCTCCCCACTCATCAAAAACTGTTCTAGTAGTCTACTTTATTGAGGGAAAAGAGACATAACCAGATAGCAAATCCTATCTTTCTACCCCCAAATTTACAAATCTACCTCCATTGATTTTAATTTGATGTCCTAAAAAGAGATAGGCATAGCTAATAGAATCCTGGAAAAATGGCCCATGAGAAACTGGTCATGTTTTTCTCCAGGTGGTATAGGGAAACCCTTAATAAAGATGAGCATTAACACATAATGCTAGCAAAATAGTAAACAAAACCTGGCATTTGATCTATAATCTGTAAACAACCTGTGCCTTTTTTCAAAAACACTGACTCAAACCTAACTTGGCAATATAGAGAGAATTTCAGATGATTTTTCTAATGTGTAAAATGTCTAAACAGAAAGAATCATTTGGTTTAGTAATGCACAATTTAGCAATCATTTATCTGTACAATTTTCCAATCCTCATTTAAGGCAAAAAGAGACAAAAAGTCCAATTATTAGAGTTTCAAATACTTTCTACCATCAAAATTGTATCTGAGGATTCCAAGACGTCCCTCACATTTGAAGATTCCATAGGATTCACAGGACTTAGCATATAGTTGTATTCATGGCTAACATTTATTACAGCAATGTAATTCAGATGTACAGTCTGACAATAATGGAAAAAGACATGGGTTGAGTCGGGAGAAATCACATGTAGCTTCCTTATCCTGTCTGTCTCCCAGGAGGAGTCACAGAGAACACACTCTTCCCCCAACAAGGAAAATGCAGCAACATGTATGGAATGTCTCTGCTCGGGGAAGCCTGTTAGAGACTCGGTGCCCAGAATTTTTATGGAAGCTATAATTTCGGCATAAAATATACATTGTTCAGCACAAACTCTCCCAATCCAAGTTCCCAGATGGCAAACAAGAGCCATCCTTGCAAGCAGTCCTTTCTATGGACGGTAGTCTTAGGCCTGCTATGTTAACTTTTTCAGCACAACTATGTTCTGGCCATTTTTCTCATGTGGTTTTGCAAACATCAAACTTTACAGTTTTCAACTTCACTATCATGTAACACCTGTATTCTCCAATGTAGGGTGTGCAACTAAGTTGTCTTAAAAACTTTGGTTTTAAATGGGCTATGCAAACAAAAGCCCGTATTCTTCAAAATCATCATCATCTTGTTTTTCTACTTTTGGGCAGTTATTTTCGGAATTGGGGTCGAAGAAAGGGACGATCTCTATTTAGATTAACCAGGCTAAAAAAAATGAAAAGCACTTACAGCATTGCTGCATATCACGCGCTGTTCTAAGCACCTCACAGATATTAACCCACTTAATTCTCACAACTACTTTAGGAGATAGGTTACTACTATTTTCCTCATTTTTTTGCACCTGAAACGGAGGCACAGGGGTTAAGAGACTTGTACAGGTCCTGAGCTAGTAAGTGGTGGATGGGGACGTGGACCCAGGCAGTCCCACTCCGGAGCTTCTTTCTAATACACGATGCTCCCAGAAAACGGTGGTTAGACACACTTCCTCCGCTCGCTGACACCCCCAGAACGTGAAGAGAAAATGCGCCGTGACGAGCGCGCGCAGCAGGGAGGACGGGAGGGTGTCGGGACGCCGCGCGCCTCGGTCACCGTGACGCGGGGACTCGGACCCTGCCCGGCGGCTCCTCCCGAGGCGCAGGGACACCGAGCCGGCAGGGCTGCGCTTACCAGGCCCTCGGTGACCTCCTGGCGCCCCCAGGGATTGGGAAGTCGAGGGGGAACAGGGGCCCCTTCTCCCAGCCTTGCCCACCCACAAAGGGGTCAGGGTCGCCCAAGCGAAGACCGAGAATCAGGAGCGACCACAACTCGGCGTCCCCAACTCACCCCGCCCGGCCCGGCAGCCGCGTCTACAACCAGGAAAGACTGCGCCTGCGCGGCCGTCCCCCGACCAGGCGGAGGCGGGGCCTCGTGCGCCCGCCCCCAGGCCCCGCGGGAGGGCGCCGCGCGGGCGGTGGGGAGGGCGGGGCGGCGCGCGGAGCGGTGGGGAGGGCGGGGCGCCTGCGTTCCGGGAGTAGTAAGTAGCCTTCTGCTCTCAGTTTGCCTGTCCGCAGTGCGCAGCGCGGTCTTCCCGCGTCCAGCTTCAGGGCCACATGTTGCCGGGCGCCTTCAAGACTGCTTCCGACCCCCCCCCCCCGCCCCGCCACCTTCCTCTGAATTCAAAAGTAGCATCTGACGTACATCCTAGGTTATCTTGGTTTGCTGTTGTTATTACCTGTCGTTCTCACTTCTTAACTAGACAGTACATTTCTTGGCCTCCACCTATACCTATTCGAAGCCCGATTATCTGTTAAAGTGGTCTACTTTAGTTTAGTAAAAGTAGTTGGCTTGAAAATATTTTGTTTGAATCATAGATATTGCAAACGTCAACCCTAATTATGGATAGGCTCCCAAAGTGTCCTAATCTTTCATAACTCTTCAGCCAAGAGACAAATGTGGCCTTATGGATAAGAGCGTTGGATTGGAAATCAAAAGATACCAGAGTTAAAATTTTAAGATATCTGATTTCACCCTAAAAACTCTTAATTCTTTTCTCACATTATTTCTGTGTGGAGAACTAGGCAAAGGAGGCTGCTATTGTTTATATTGTATCTATATTCATTTAGCAAATGCAATTGTGTGCAAATATGCCAGTCACTGTACGAGGTATGGGCGTACATAATCATCTTTTGCGGTAAGGGAATTTTTTTCCCTAGGGAAAAAGAAAATATCCCAAATAAGTATAGGTTGTGTTGTGTAATTTTGAAGTCGAAGTTACCTAGCCTACTTCATAAATCAAAAGTTTTCATATATTTTAACTTCGGATTTGACATAGAATGTGGAGGGGGAAAAAGCAAATAAGCAAATCTAAATAATTTGTATCTTAAATTGTGTTATAATAAAAGAGCTTTAAAAAATGTATATATTGGAACCCAGTATGCAGTAAAAAACGGATTGAATTAGAATATGGAAATTGAGGTTATTTTCCTCATAAAAAGAAATTTAGAAATTATGCAAACCACCATACAATACTTACATTTTTCTTGGAAAAGACAAATTTCAAAGCTATCTTAATTTTCAGCAGATGGACCCTTAGCATGATGAAAATCTCCAGAGATTGTAATCTCTATTTCGGAATTTAGCATGAGTTAGGGAAAATTATCTAAAACTAAGTTGTTGGGTTTTGTTTTTTTGTTTTTTTTTAGAGACAGAGTCTTGCTATGTCGCCCCAGATAGAGTGCGATGAAATGATCGTAGCTCACTACAACCTCAAACTCCTAGGCTCAAGCAATCCTCTTGCCTCAGCTTCCTGAGTAGCTGGGCCTACAGAAGCAGGCCACTACACCAGGCTAATTTTTTTGTTTCTGTTTTGTTTGGCTGGTCTCAAACTCTTGACCTAAAGCAATCCTCCTGCCTTGGCCTCCCACAGTACTAGGATTACAGGCATGAGCCACTAGGCCTGGCCTAACATTAAGTTTTTATTTCTGATCTTCTTCAAATTATCTTTTCATTTAATCAAAAGTAAAATTTATTTATTTGATGGATTCTTCAAAAGCAGGAACTCATTTTTAAATGTTACCCTGTATCTTTTAAGTGCTATTACAATGACACTATGACAAAATGTCAAATAAAAATATAGATTCAATTAAGATCAGCTAACTATTTTTCAAATATGCTAAACATCTTATTACTTTCACCATCATTGTTCTGCCTAGCAATGTGTGGAATACTTTGCTAAACTGTAGGCTCTACAAATATACACCTCTTCAATTTCTATCAAGTGTGTTTTTTAAAGATATACTTATTATAAATTTAACACATGCTAGTTTGAATATAAAGTTCCTCATATTCTCCTCCTTTTCACACTCCTGTTTCCTTTCCTCAGAGGTAACATTTTCTCTCCTCTGTTTACTGTTTCTTATGTATAGTCTTAGGAGTTGTCTTTGCACATGCAATATGCATTTGTACCATCTCACGTCTCTTCATCTTGGGAGCTAAGAGAACTATTTTTCAAGTTGCATACAACACACACAGAGAACTGAATTTTTTTTTTTCATTAAATTAGAAAGGATCATTTTGTTTTTGAAGTTTTTATTCTATTTTCCTAATAAAACATCGTGGCCCCAAGGAAAAAAATTATTTTTCTAGTGTGGCAGTAAATATACTAGATTACATTCTGTTCGATGACTTGATGTTTTCACTTAACAGTATATGTCAGATATATTTCACATTAGCCTTATTCTTTTGACTGGCTGCTTAGGACTCTAGTGAATGAATGTATCTTTGATAAAAATTAGTCTCTTGCTAGTGTACATTTACCTTTGCCTACCTGTGCAAGTATTTTCAGTAAATAAACAATTAGCAGTGGAAATGCTATGTCAACAGATCTTCATTTAAAGTTTTGATAGAAATTCTTTTGACAAAAAAATTACACGAAAGGCCACATGTTTCTTAATTCTTCATTTTATTTGTCTATCATATGAGGCCTTAAAGTGGGTTTTAAAAGAAATAGGAAAAATCCCAAGTCTCTTAAAAATCCCCATCCTTTCCAATAGCTTTTCACTTGAACATGAGTTATAACAAAAACTAAAGTGATTTGAGAATTATAATTCATATCAACTCTGCACTAGTAGATCTTTCTCAGAAGAGTTAAATTATTTCTCTCCCTTTCATCCCACTTTAAGTCTTACTAGCTCTCCCCTGAAGGAATAACTTAGACACTTGTACCCTAACAGCAATGATCAAGAATCTCTTTTTGACAAGATCTTTTTGCTCTAAGGACTCTTAAATAAACAAAGTTTGGCACTGTGCTATATATGGGAGGACATATCTTTTCAGAAAAAAAAATCCTATAGAAAAATATTTCTTAAATAATAGTCATGAACCCTAGAAAAACAATTATTTAGTAGTATTTCTTTTACAAAAGCACAAATCAGATTAAATATGATTCACTTATGCCAAGTACATGTTTCCACATATTGTGTTCTACAACCAGTGGTTTATGATGCATATTCAGATTGGAGTTGCCACAAAGAATACATAAATCTATACTATATGATGACATCTTAGTTCAAAGTTATTCCCCAAAATGAATTACACAGAGACTAAGCTCCAAATGATTTGGGAAAACATAATTATAGATAATGTCATTGGTACAGAAATCTGAAGTGGTTTATTAATTATAAAATTATTGAAGATGGAATTATTTAAAAGTAAATGCTTAATGAAATTATTACTTGTATATCTTTTAATCATGCCATCAAAATTAATATTTAATTTTAAACTGTTTGCAGTTAAGTATAGTTTTCATGATGCTTGAGAACCAAGTTGAGAATAAATTAAAAATAAGGTAATGAGAAACTTTTATGTGGTAGGCTTCATAATGCCCCACCCCACCCTAAAGATGTTTGTGTTCTAATCCCTGAAACCTATGAATGTGTTACCTTACCTAGCAAAAAGGGACTTTGCATATGTGATTACATTAAGTGTCTTGGAATACGGAGTTTTTTGGGATTATCTCAGTGGTCTGAATATAGAGGTCTTTAAAAAGAGGAGCAGAAGAGTCAGAGGAAGAAGAGATGTGACAACAGTAGGAGGCAGAGTCAGAGAGGAATTTGAGGAAGCTAAACTGCTGGCTTTGAAGATGGAGAAGAGAACAAGTGAAGGAATACAGGTAGCCACTGCAAGATGGAAAAGACAAGTACAGAAATTCTTCCCAAGGAACACAGGCTTACTGACATCTTGATTTTAGCCAAGTGAGACTTCTCACTTACGTACTCTTGGATAATAAATTTGTTGTTTTAAGCCAGTATGGTAATTTGTTCCAGTAGCAATAAGAAACTAACCCACGTTATAAATAGTTGGATTTAATCCTGACAAAGCTATAGTCAAATATAGCCAAATATCATCAATTCGTGGAGAAAAAGATGACGGTATGAGATTATTTTAATACCGACATCAGTTGAACCAGCTACCGGAGTTAAGAACAATTCTTACAAAAGCATCTACGTAGTTTGCTTTAAACTAATCCAATGTGTGAAAATCGTGTTATAAAGTAAATCGGAGAAGTTTATCTACTTTAAATCTTTCAATATTAGCTGGATCATATATTTTGCCTTCCATTTTTAAACTTTGTCTCTCCTAAAGAAAATAACATCTCAAAAACAAAAAAGCGAGCAAAACCCTTAGTTTTTTTCCAAACGATTTTTAAATTTTAAAGCAGGGCAGCCTGTCCGCGACTGTGCCTTGCAGCACTACCCGCGTCGGCCGGCGCGTGGCCGGAGGGCGCTGGAGAGCCCGCGCCGCGCGCCCGCGGGCGAGAGCAGCAGGAAGCGGCCGGCCGCGCGGGCGCCGCGAGGGCGAGCGGGCGATGGTGCTGCCCCGGCTGCTGCTCGGGGCCCGGCTCAGGGCGGTCGTCGGGTCGGTGGAGGCTGCACCCTGCGGTGAGCTGTGGTAGTCCTTGGGGAAAGGGAGAGCGCCTAACCTTGGACGCCAGGGAAGGGATGGCATTGGCGCAGGTGCTCGTTTCTTTAGCCTTCAGTTAAAAGTCAGCCCCTTTGCTTACTCTTGTTACCTGGGGAGGTAGCATCCACCTGCAGTTCCTGTTAGTTCAGACTTCCGGCTACCCGGACCTGGGCTTGCTCTGGGGGACTCACGGAGAGAGGTAAACATGCTCCGGGGACCTCGTGTGGGGGAGGGCTTTGCTATTGGCGGTGGTGCTTGATTGAGCCGTGAAGGTCAAATCGCAACTGAGGAGCGAGCGGGACGGCGCGGGCCTGCCGGGGAGGGACGAGTGCGAGCCCCGCCTTGCGCGCGGCGCCAGCGACCCGCCCACTGGAGAGCCGCGCTCGTCGCCGGAAGCGACAGCCGCCCGGAATTATAACGTGTTAGAGCTGTGAAAGCACCACGCCTGAGTTTACAGATGAAGACTCAGAAGGCAGAGAAGTGAGGGTGGTTAGTGGAGGCATTGGGTCTAGAACTCAGCGCAAGCCCCCCCAGGCCCTTCTTTTTCGCTTTACGTGCTTCCTCTCCTTCAGCGTCAGATTTTCTCTGCGGATGCAGGTACAGGAGCCCAGCATAACAGCACAGCGCTACCTTCCCCCTCCCTCACTCTTTATCTAAACTGTCGGTGCATCCTCTGTAGTTTAAGATGTGCTTTTCTATACAAATTTCTTTCGTTTTACCTTTAATCAACAGTCATTTGTTGAGCAACCACTCTGCCAGGCCTCCTGTACAGCCTTTGCAGCTCAGGAGTTTACCATTTCTGGGGGAGACAGACCCAAGTCAGAAATCACCACATGCAGCCCAGTCGAGTGACACTGCAATGGGCAGAACAATTGACTCTGGTTGACTTGGAGAAAATATTAGAGAAAGGTGTCTTTTCCACTTTAAAAATTATGCTAATATTGCTTAATTATATTCTTGTTATACTAAACAATAAAGAACTGCATTAGTCTCCTTTATACATCCTCCCTCTCCTATTCTCCCAGATATGGTTTGATACATACCCTTCTTAACACTTTTCTATGCGTATACAGAAGTAAAAGTACGTAAAAAATACTATATATAAAAATGTGATCTATGCATACTTTTCTGTAATTTTTTCCCCACTTAGGTATTCACAAGCTTTCCATGGCAGCACATATAACTCTTTTAACTAGTCCTCTATTGATGAACATTTTGGTTTCTAATCTTTTATTATAAACAGTTTAATAATTATCAGTGTACATGCCACTTTTGTGTATTTGTACAAATATTTTCCTATTAGTAGAATAGATGCCCAGAAGTGAAATTGTTAAAGCAGAGCTGACAAGTGACATTTATTAATAACTGGGTCTTAAAGAAGAATAAGAGTATTCCATGCAGAGATGAGGGAGAAAGATATTCTCTTCAGAAGCAACAGTGTGTATAAATCATGAAGGAAAGGCAGAAATAGGTATTTATTGATTGTACTGTATATACATTACTTTATTTAAACATCACAGCAACTCTGAGTTAAATGATACTATTCCTATTTTACAAATAAGAAACTAAGGCCAAACACTCCTTCCAATTTCTGGCAACCTCTAACCTGCTTTCTGACTCTATGAATTTGCCTATTCAGGATAGATAGTTCATATAAATGGAATCATATAATATTTGTCTTTGTATATGGCTTATTTCGCTCAGCATAATATTTTCAAGGTACATCTATGTTGTAGCATGTGTCAGAATTTCATTTCTTTTTATGGCTAACATTCCATTGTAAATATACACCATATTTTGTTAATTCATTCATCTGTTGAACACTTGGGTTGTTTCCACCTTTTGGCTATTGTGAATACTTGCTGCTATGAGCAGTGATGTACGAGTATTTATTTGAGTCCTGTTTTTCAGTTCTTTTGATTATATACCTAGGAGTGGAATTGCCTGGAAACCTGTATTTTAAACTATTATAGGTATTTGTCCATTTTTCCATATTTTGCTATCAGTGAGAAAGACAAATGAATATAGAAAAGTGTCTTTTTTTTTATAAGAAGATATGCTTTTTTGTAACTTTTTGGCTTTCTTTACTTAATAAATGGAACAGCTAGGCATTTCTTTTGGACTGTGGGTACTGCAAAAAAATTACCAAGACATCAAGAATATTGTGAACCCAGAAAGTCTGGGAACCTTAGGTTTACATACAATGTTCTCTAACTAGGTTTTCTTTTTTTTCACTTAATACTATATTTTGGACAACTAACATTAAGTAATACATATTCCATTATATAAATGTACCACTTGTACTATAACCATTCCCTTATTGATGGACTTTTAGCTTATTTTATTTTTCAGTACTACAAAGAGAGTTGCCCATGAACATAAGTATACATATATACATCTGTATTAACTCATACCAATATTTCTGTATGATAGACTCCTAAAAGTAAAATCGTGAGGTAAAAAGGATATGCATACTTCAAACATCATGGCTAAATTTTCCTTCAAAAGTTTATAACATTATACACAACAAACAATGTATGAGAGTTACGCATTTCCTCATTCTCTCACCACTATTTGATATTATCAATTGTTTTAATTTTTACAAACCTGGCAAAATTACAAATTTTATATCTTGTATTTCCTTAATAGTGAGATAGGGCACCTTTTTACTGTTTTCTTTTTGTGTGTGTGTGTGTGTGTGTGTTTCTCTTTTTTTCAGACAGGGTCTTGCCCGATCATTGGGGATAGAGTGCAGTGGTGTCATTAGCTCACTGCAGCCTCAAACTTCTGGGCTCCAGGGATCCTCCTCTTTCAGCCTCCCAAGTAGCTGGCAGCACCAGCAACAGCTAATTTTTCTATTTTTTGTAGAGATGGGGGTCTCACTCTTCCTCAGGCTGGTTTCAAACTCCTCGCCTCAAGCAATCTTCCTACCTTGGCCTACCGAAGTGCTAGGATTATAGGCATGAGCCACCATGCCCTGTCCCGCTTTTCACATTGTATTGGCCATCTGTATTTCTCATGTCAATTCCCTGTTCATATATTTTGACCACTTTTCTATGGGGATTTTTTTCCTTTTCCTAGTTTTTTATATGAGCTCTATTTTATTAATACTTATCTTTTGTCTCTTCTATTTTCTTCCTGCCTTCTACTTGTGTTTTAATTGTTAATTGTTCATTTTCCATATATAAACTTAACATTTTTATGAGGTCAAACCTTTCATTTCTGACTTTGGTCATGTTTAGAATGGGCTTCCTGTCCCAAGATTTAAATTATTCATTTATGTTTTCTAAGACATTAACTTTTAGATTTAAATTTGGAATTCATTTAAACATGAGGAATGAGGCAACAGCCTCTTTAAAGTTTTCTCCTAGCTAGTTGCCCTACATACTATTGAATAAAATCTTTCCCCATTAATTTGAAATGTCACTGTTAGCCAATACTGGATTCTCATATAAATATTCTGAGTCTCTTTCTGGACTTAGACCTTTAAACCTTTTTCTATGCCAGTTCACTACTTAAGTCAATTTAAGTTTATAATATATTTAATACATTAAATAAAAATTGAAGCATAACCATATTATTTACCTTTTGTATCAAAGTCATTTTGTTGTAAAATATGAAAATTATTAATATTTTTGCTATTTTATTTTGGAATTTTTAGATACTTTTAAAAAATAATTTTAGACCTATAGAAAAGTTACAAAAGTAAAATAGTTCCCTTTATCCTTACTCAACTTCCCCTAATATAAATATTTTCATCATGCAGCTGAAATCAGGAAATTAATATTGATATACTATTAACTAATCCACAGACTTCATTTATATGTCACCAGTTTTCCCACTAATGGTCATTTTTTATAATCCCAGATCCAATCCTACATTGCATTAAGTTGTCATGTCTCCTAGGTCTCCTTCAGTCTGGCACAGTTCCATGGTGTTTGTCTTTCTTGATATTGACACTTTTTAAGAGTGTATGTTATTTTTTAAATTGAAGTCTTCTGATTAGATTCAAGACATGTATTCTTTTTGCAAGAATACTAAAGGAGTGATGTTGTGCTCTTCTCAGTGCCTCATGTCAGGAGGTACCTGTTACCAACATATCTTACTACTACTAAAGTCATCTTTGAATGACTGGTTAATGTGGTTATCTTTCAGGTTTCTCCTATCTATCAGTGGTTCCTGCCTGCAACAATTATTACGGGGTATTTGCCTGATGATTATATTTCCATCATTCCTTCTACATTTATCGCCTGGAATTCCAAATTAAGGAAAATAATCCCTTCTCCCATTTATTTATTTATTCAATTATATATTTATATAAGTATGGACCTGCAGGTTTATTTTATGGGCTATTGTCAAATACCATATTATTACCAATTACAGTTGGCCCTCTGGATCCTTGGGTTCCACAACTGCAGATTCAACTAGCTGTGCACTGAAAATATTTGGGGGGAAAAAACCCAAAATTAACAACACAACAATAAAAAATAATACAAATTAAAAAACAATACAGTATAACAACTATTTACATAGCATTTATATTGTATTAGGTATTATAAGCAATTTAGAGATGATTTAAAGTATATAGAATTTAAAGTTCTATGCAAATACTGCACCATTTTATATAAGGGACTTGAGCATCCACAGATTTTGATATCCTAGGGGGTCCTGGAACCAGTCCCCCTCAGGAACTAAGGGATGGCTATATTCAAAAGAAATAGAAACAGTGCCATTATCCATTACATTAAGTACTTACAAGCATACTTTAAAATGTAAGGTCCCCACATCTAACATACAGCTTAATATCCTCACTTGCAAGGGAAAATGGAATTATAATTTTCTTTCTTTCTTTTTTTTTGGGCCGGGTTTTCAGTTGCGTTGTTTTGTTCTTGGTTCCTTTTGGTTTCAATTGCTTGTTTTCAGTTATTCTTCGGTTCTTGGTTGGGCTTCCGGGCCCTTGCCCCCCCCCCCGGTTATTTTTTAAAAAAAATTTTTTTGTATAGAAAGGGTCTTGCAATGTTGCCCAGGCTGGTCTTGAACTCCTAGCTTCGTTTGATCTTCCTGCTTTGGCCTTCCAAAGTGCTGGGATTATAGGCGTGAATGCTGGCCTACAGTTTTTTTAATATTGTTATTTGAATTAGGGTAAGGTTTACAAATTATTTCCATAATTCAGTTACCAAATGCTGAATGTACATTTAAAAGCTCCCACCAGTTAAGGGGATTGGAGAAGGTAGAATATGGAGTTGGCACAAGGCCAGCCATCAAGCATTCAGGGCAGGACAGGCTGCATCCTGATGCTCAGAGTCAGGATGTATGTGTAAATGGAAAAACTCTTCTGTTTTCTACTCATAACACTTTTGACACTAAATGTGTGGGTTTTCCACACCAAGCAATTCTCTAATACTCTGTGGACACCAACTGAGGGTCCTACAATTTAATTCTGAACTACCTACCTAGAATTAGCACAGACTCCCCATGCTGAAGGCCCAGTCCCGTAAGACTGCCTCCTCTTCAGACACCAGTAGCAAGTCCAGGCCTCCCCATACTTCTGACGGACTGCCTGTAAGTTGGTTCCCATGACCCCCTTCTTGGGTTGGAATGGCTCACAGGACTCAGAAAAACACATTTATTGATTTATTTTAAAGGATATAATAAAGGTACAGATAAACAGCGAGATCAAGAGGTACATAGAAGGGGGTCTGGAAGGGTCCCAAGCACACTTCTCTCCCTGTGGAACTGGGCTATTTGTGCAGTACATGGATGTGTTCATCAACCCAGAAACCCTCTGAATCCCATAGTTTGGGGATTTTTATGGAGACCTCAGCATGTGGGCATGATGGATTATTAATTCAATCTCCAGCCTCTCCTCTGGAGATTGGAGGATGGGGCTGAGAGTTCTAAGCTTTAGTCATGGTTGGGTCTTTCTGTTGACCAGCACTCACCCCGAAGCTATCCAGGAGCCCACCAAGAGTCACCACATTAGAACAAACGAATCTCCTATTACCTGGGAAATTCCAAGGGATTTGGGAGCTCTGTCAGGAAACAGAGGCAGAGACCAAATTAATATTTATTAGGTCACAGAACTAAATACATACATAGAATACATAGTTTAGTAAAGTAAAAAGACTAACTATAGTTAACTGACTGGAATGGGGGCCTACTTTTTCTAGCTATTACTACCAATGTCACTTTGAAGTTGCCTAAATTGTTTTATTTTTTCCAGGCTTAAAGTCAATAAAGGGAAGCTGTCACAAATTTTGTATTGCTGTTTTGAAAGATGTCACTTATAAGGAACTTAAAAACCTGTTGAATTCAAAAAGCATTATGTTAATTGATGTTAGAGAGACATGGGAAATTCTTGAGCATGGAAAAATCCCTGGGTCTGTCAATATACCATGTAAGTGCCATGTGTCTTAAACTGATTAAGAGATATATATATCTTATGTACATGTAAAATTTACTATTATCTAAAATCTATATATAAACTTATATATATGATTTACGATTTTCTAGAATCTAATTGAAATTCTTAACATTTTCTTTCAGTGGATGAGATAGGTGAAGCTCTACAGATGAACCCAAGAGACTTCAAAGAGAAGTATGATGAAGTAAAGCCATCCAAATCTGACAGTCTGGTGTTTTCTTGTTTAGCTGGGGTGAGAAGCAAGGTGGCTCTGGACACAGCAATATCTCTGGGCTTTAATAGGTATGTAGATGAAGGAAGTAGATTCACGAATGTATATTGCAATGTTTCATATATATACGTTTTATTGGTCTATTTAAGAACTTCTAGGCCTGGCGCGGTGGCTCACGCCTGTAATCCTAGCACTCTGGGAGGCCGAGATGGGTGGATTGCTGGAGGTCAGGAGTTCGAAACCAGCCTGAGCAAGAGCGAGACCCTGTCTCTACTAAAAATAGAAAGAAATTAATTAGCCAACTAATATATATATAGAAAAACAATTAGCCGGGCATGGTGGCGCATGCCTGTAGTCCCAGCCACTCGGGAGGCTGAGGCAGTAGGATTGCTTGAGCCCAGGAGTTTGAGGTTGCTGTGAGCTAGGCTGACACCACCACGGCAGCCTAAAAACCTATTTAAAAGATTCAAGTAAGATGAAAAGATAGAGGCTTTTAGTCTCACTATCCTGCTTTTACTGACAGTAATTATAGAAATTCTTTTTTTTTTTGAGACAGAGTCTCACTTTGTTGCCCAGGCTAGAGTGAGTGCCATGGCGTCAGCCTAGCTCACGGCAACCTCAAACTCCTGGGCTCAAAGGATCCTTCTGCCTCAGCCTTCCGAGTAGCCGGGACTACAGGCATGCACCACCATGCCTGGCTAATTTTTTCTATATATATATATTAGTTGGCCAATAATTTCCTTCTATTTATAGTAGAGACGGGGTCTCGCTCTTGCTCAGGCTGCCTCGGCCTCCCAGAGTGCTAGGATTACAGGCGTGAGCCACCATGCCTGGCCTAAATAGGTTTAGAGTCTAAATAGTATGGTGAGTAGCCATGGCATTATTTATCTCTAAAGTTCTCATCAACCTTCTTTTATAAAGCAGTAGAAAATGTTTACAGCACTAACTATTTTACGTATATTTTCAGATCTCAACACTATGCTGGAGGATGGAAGGAATGGGTAACCTATGAAGTTTTAGAAAAGAAATAAGGAAATTGAAATTTGGAATACAAGTTGGATCTTCCCTTGTGTACGTGCAGCCTAAGATAGTGGAATGAGCAAAAGAATAAAAATCTAGTCCTGTTACCACTGATTATGGCAAGGTGATTTTGTGTAAACCAATTACTTATTGAATCTTTTTCTCATTTGTAAATTGAGAATACCACTCTCCCCTGCCTACTTTCAAAGGCTATTGAGGAATGAAAATAATGTATGTAACTTGCCATGGAAATATAAGGGCTGAGATTCTAGGAGTTAATTTTTTGAGTAGTTTAGTATAGTTCAATAGTATTCTAAAAGACTAGGTTACTTGTATTACCTAATCATGTGTGACTGTATGTGTTAGTACAGCTTCTATTCATCATAGAGGCTATGAGCTAGACCAGTAGCTTCATAAGCAGACCTGACCTTTAAAAAAATCAAGATTGTATGATCTAGAGAAATCAGGGAAATCTGAACAGTGAAAATACATTAACAGCATCCACAGACTTATAGGAGTGTTACAACCAGCACAGTAGTGATGTAATTTGCAATTTAAAAATGAAAGTTAATATTATTAATGTGGGATATAAATCGGAACAGTGGTTGCTGTTCTAGAGGGAAGAAGAATAACTAGAAAAGGCAAGGAGGGAACTTTCTAGGGTAGTGGAAATGTTCTATATCTTGACTGAAGTATTGGTACATAGGTATATATATTTGTCAAAATTCATTAAAGTGAACACTTAAAAATATATGTGTTTTTTTTTTGAGACAGTCTCGCTTTTTTGCCTGGGCTAGAGTAAAAATATATATATTTTTATAAGTAATTATACTTCAATTAAAAAATAATGAAAATAGAAAAAAAAAGTCTAAATGTAAGTATATTCCTTTGGAATGTTAAGTCCTACATGTGTTAGTGTGCAAGTGCAATGATGGCCAAATAAACCTGCGTTTTCTTGTCTGTGCCTCTTCAGACCCATTTGTTTTTAGCCTCATGCACGTAAATCATTCTTGCAGTACCTACAAAGACTTGTTTTTTCCTAAATGAGATAGAAAGCCACTAGAGAATCTGGGGTAGGGATATGATATGATTACCTTGAACTTCTATTTCTGACAGGGAGGAATATATATAATGTTTAAAGGCATTAATTCCCAAGGCAGCAAGGATTCGAAGAGCCATAATTTCAGGGAGAAGGAAAAGTTATAGAGCATGAACCAATATTGAAGTACTGAGCCCATTCAGGAATAGGAGCCTGGGTAAATACATCAGGCTTTTAGTTGGAAGCCCTGAAAGGCTAGGAGTAGAAATGAACTGGAAATTGATCAACCACATGCACACACTTAAGCTTTGAATCAACTAAAATCCTTGAAAGAATTAAGGTGATCTTCCTGATGCCTAAGGGTCAACCAGAAGTATTTAATAAACCCTCTCTGGAGAACAATACCATTATCTAGCCACAGGAGGGGTTAGCAATAGTAAATCTTTTAGTCATGTGGCCATTAGGTTTCTGTTGCAACTACTCTACTCTGCTGTTGTGCACAAAAGCAGCCATAGAGGAGTAAGTATCACTATATTCTAGTAACACTATAGTCTCTTAGGTTTGAATTTTATGTAAGTTTCATGTGTTGCCACATACTACTATTCTTCTGTTTTTCAACCATTTAAAAATATAGCAAACTTTCTTAGCTCAAGGCCAGGCAAAAATGGGTGGCAGGCCAGATTTGACCCATAGGGGATAGTTTGTAGACCCTTGAGCCACAGCTACAAATTATCCCTATAATTTTTCATATATAATGTTCAGTATTCTATGAAAACAAACTAGATGTAGCAGTGTACAGGAACTCGTGATTGAAACAATAACAGGGAGGCTGAAATCCTAGCACTCTGGGAGGCCAAAGTGGGAGGATTGCTTAAGCTCAGGAGTTCGAGACCAGCCTGAGCAAGAGTGAGACTGCCATCTCTACATGGCCCATTCCTGTAGTCCCAGCTACTTGGGAGGCTGAGAGGCAGGAGAATTGCTTGAGCCCAGGAGTTTGAGGTTGCAGTGAGTTACAATGATGCCACTGTACTCTACCAGGGGAGACAGAACAAGACACTGTCTCAAAAAAAAAACAGCCACAAAAACGTCTACATTTTGGAGTTTTCAGACTTTAAAATAAATGTGATTAATATATTCAATAATTTAGATGACAAAATTAAAAAATTTATCAGAGGAATGAGAACTACAAAAAAGTATCAAATGGAAATTCCAGGACTTAAAAATATAATAACTGAAATTAAACACCTAATAGATGGTATATGGGTTTAATAGCAGATCAGAGAAAACTGATGGCAGGATTAGTGAAAATGGAAAAACCTATAGAGGTACATGTATTAACTTGGATGACTCACAATATTGAGGAAGAAAGAAAAGAATAGAAACACATACTGTAAAATATAGTTTTAAAACATAAAATAATATTTAGGCATCTGCACATATATAGTATCAGTATAAATAAGTTATGAAAATAATAAATATTAAATTCAGAATGGTTTCCTTTGGGGGAGGAGAGAGGAAAACAGTAGGCTTTAACAATATTGTTAACATTTTATTTAATATATTTAGTCCGTAAATAAGCACTGAATTATTTTTACCTTTTATATGTATGGGATAAGGATTATTGTTATCCCCACTTGGCTACACTTAAACAAGATTATACAATTATAACAAGTTTGGATTATTGGTACTATTATTAAAAGAAAAAACATGACAACGTATTCTGTTAACCCAAATATAACTGAACTTAATATCTTTTAAAAACAAATTTAAATTTATTTTTTTGCAGAGACAGGGTCTTGCTATATTGCCTAGGCTGGTCTCGAACGATCCTCCCACTTTGGCCTCCCAGAGTACTGAACTGTACTTATATTTTTTTGAAGAAACAAAGGGTTAATAAATTACAAAATATATTTTCTAAATAAATTAGAAAAATATTTTTTCTATATTAGATCAAATTTATAAAGGTAACTGTTATTCCAGAATAAAAATTTGACAAATTATATTTCTTTTCTTTTTCTTGAGACAGAGTCTCATTGTGTTGCCTGGGCTAGAGTGCTGTGGCGTCACAGCAACCTCAAATTCCTGGGCTCAAGCAATCCTTCTGTCTCAGCCTCCCAAGTAGCTGGAACTACAGGCATGCGCCACTATGCCTGGCTAATTTTTTCTATATATATTTTTAGTTGGCCATTAGTTTCTTTCTATTTTTAGTAGAGACTGGGTCTCGCTCTTGCTCAGGCTGGTTTTGAACTCCTGACCTTGAGCGATCCTCTCGCCTTGGCCTCCCAGAGTGCTAGGAACAAATTATATTTCTTAAACTGCACTGACTTGTACAAGATTCTTAAAAGAGAAAAACATCAAGGTTGGCAGTTATCAGAGGCCTCAAAATGTAAAAATATAACGTATGATTTAATACATTATTTAACAAGTGGCTATTTTATTTCAATCATGGGAGAATATCACTTTTATTTTGATAATACAAGGGTAGATCAAAAGTTTTAGAAATGTATGGGAAAAACTAGATTATACTTTGAAATGCTATATAAACTTATTTACTTTCATTATGGAATAGAAGGAAGATGTCATGGAAAAACTGGCAACAGCAGACAGCTTCAGAATTAATGTGTCTCAGGTTTCCTTCATTCACATCATTTTCTTACCTGCCTTATGATCTCATTTGGGTTTCTTGGATTCTGTGATAATGTGCCTTTTTGCTATATAGAATGTATATGCCATAAGAATACTGGAGAGAGGTAGGATCAGCAGCTAATCTATGAAAAATTTTATATTATTAAAGACAAATGAAAATTTGAATGCTTCTCCCACCATCCAGTAAAAAATATTGTTTAATGCCTAAAAGGACAGCAATTTATTAGTGGAAAAATATAATTTTGTCACCACCACTTTTCAATGCTGTAAGCTTCTCCAAGAGCAAGGATAAGAAGAGAAAGCAGAAAAGGAGAGAAGTTTTAGTAAGATACCATAATGGCAGAATGTGCTGAAGTATATCCAAGTGAGGATAATAGTTCCGACCTCACAGTTTAGTTTTGAAGATTAACTCAGATAAAACATTTCAAATATTTAATATTATGCTGTCATCATCATTACTGTGTAAATCTGTATTATATGATACCTGACTATAGGCAGCTATATTTTGAATTGTTTGCATTCATGTAACATTAATGGGTAAAGAAGGCAGGTGAAACTTCTAGCTAAACATGAGGGGAGCAGGAATGGCAGTGGACTCCTTACTGAAAACAAGTAGAGTGAAACTCTGAATACTGAAAAATGAGATAATCTTATTCCCCACCCTCATTTGTCTCTAAGAACCCTGACAGCCTAGCTCCTACAACCTGAGATAGAAAGCTACAAGACTCCTCTCTGGAAAAATTGACCCACCCCAAAGAAAAACCTTTAGAAAATGATGTCAGGGGTGGGAGAGATGGCCCATGAAAAAGTTTTGTTGCTGCCTCATCTTACAATGAAGCTCACCACTGAAAAGTCCTACTTATGCACAGACAGACCTTCCAATTAGCTTTATCTGTGCCTCTCAAATATGAAGGATCCTGGGAAAATTAAGGCAAGATTTTAACATGAAAGACTATGACCAAACCAAACAGTAAAAAGGGACTTCAAGGATATACAAGTTGAGTATCCCTTGTCTGAAATGGTTGGGACCATAAGTGTCTTAGATTTGATTTTTTTCAGATTTTGGAATATCTGCATATATGCAATGAGATATCTCGGGGATGGGACCTAAGTCTAAACATGAAATTCATTGTTTTTGTGTATACTTTATACATCTAGCCTGAAGGTAATTTTATATAACATTTTAATATTATATGTGCACAAAACAAAGTTTTGACTGTGTTTTGACTGCATTTTGTGATTCATCCTATGAGGTGGGGGGTAAAATTTTCTCCTTGAGGCCTCATGTCAGCACTCAAAAAGTTTTGAATTTGGGAGCATTTTGGATTTTCAGATGAGGGATACTCAACCAGTAGCGTTAATGCAGGTAACAAAGAAAATTTTAAAACAACCAAAAAAATCTAAACTCATATCCTCAGAATGATGAGAACATACTACACTCTCAAACAAGAACAAGGTGCTAATTAAAAGACCTACATTCCCCAGATCTTGGATATCTATAGATAGAAAATAAAGAGAAGTCCCAATATGATGAATTCTTTGATGACAACTGTGCTCTTTGGCTGAGAAAGTAGTCAGTCTAGACTGGAGGATGAGGACTCCAGGAAGAAAGTCTTTCTCTGAATGATTTGGAGAATAAATAAATGACAAATGATTCTGGTGATAAATTAATAGACAATACAAAGTAAATTCAGCAAATTACAACCAAGCAATTACTACTTCCAGAAACACAAAAAAAATCCTCAAAGAAAATGTAATTATAGTACACTATAGAAAAAAGCATTACCTATATATATTCAATATGTATTGAATATGAATTTAATAAAAACTATACAATTAAATGGTTATGAGAAAAGTCCCAGTCTAGGAACAGTTG